GGCTGAACTTGAACTTGTGACCTCCTGCTTCAGCCTCCCGAGTTGCAGGGATTCTGTGGACCACTGTGCCCAGCAGGATCTTTTAAATTGTTATGTGGTGTTTAGCCAGCTTTCTCATCACTGTGGCCAAAAGACCTGATGAGAACGACATAGAAGCTGGGCACAGTGGCGCACACCCGTGACCCCAGAGACTTGGGAGGCTGAGGCAGGAGGATCGTGAGTTCAAAGCCAGCCTCAGCAACTTAGCGAGGCCCTAAGCTACTCCGCGAGGCCCTGTCTCTAATAAAATATAAAAAATAGAACTGGGGATGTGGCTCAGTGGTTAAGGCCTCTCAGTTCAATCTCGAGTACCAAAAAAAGAACATAGAGGAAGAAATGTTTATTTGGGGCTTATGGTTTCAGGGGTTCAGTCCCGTTGGCCACCTCTGCTTCTCTGGTGAGGTGAGACCCAGCATTACTCGGGAAGGCTGTGGAGGTAGGAGGCAGCTCAGAGCCTGGCATCCGGGAGCAGTGAGAGCAACGTGCCCCAGGGTAAAAGGCACACCCAAGGCGCACCCCAGGACCTGCTCCTGGCAGCCACTGCTGCTGGCCTCTCCTTCCCATCCACGTCCTCAGGCTGCGGTTCTCCTGAGCACCCGAACACGGTGCCGCCTCCGTCCCTGGGCGTCCTTGCTGGACCTGCCATGCGGGACTCTCCAGGCCTGTCGCCTCTGCTGAGCTGTCAGCGAGCCGGCCCTGGGGTCTTCCTGGGCCAGGGTCTTCCTCCCTGCCCTCCCCTGTGCTGTCCCTCCTCCCTGTGTGGCGCGTCTGCGAGGTGAACATGTACGTCACTGACGCCGTCTCCTTGACATGCAGGCTCAGAGGGACGCAGGCTGAGGCCCTTTCCCTTAGGTCCAGACAGTTCTTCCCAGGCCTGGGTGAGGCTCGGGGCAGGGCTGGCACAGTGTGTCCACACCCAGAGACAGGCGGATTTTTTTTAGCTCAAGTTTTCCTGGGATTTCTTCTGTGATGAACGAGTTACTTAGAAGTGTGTTGATTTTCGAATATTTGTGAATTTCCTGACCTGCCTGCTGCTGTCCACGTCCAGCTCCCTGCCTGTGTGGTGTGGAGGACACCCTCAGGCTTCCTGAGCGTGTCCCAGGGTGCAGTGTCCGGGGCTGGTGGTCTTTACTGCTCAGGCTGCTGCTGGTGTTGAGAGTGAGTGCCCAGGTTCCTCCTGTCCCAGATTGATGGCTCTTGGACGTGCGCTGGGGCCTGTTGTGGGCCAGCAATGTGTGGTTCTCATCTTGGACTCCTGACCCAGCCCCTGCCATTCTGGGTGGCCCTCTGCTGCCTGCACTCTGAGGAGCTCGCTTGGCTGCCTGGCCACGTCTCCCGGGGCCACACGTGGAACTGAGGGCGCTGCGCGGCAGCTGTCCGTGCGTCTGCACTCAGCATGGCCCTCTTTCTCCTTCTTCTCTTCCTCTTTTTCTTTTGAAAACAAATTCATTTTTAAATATAATCAGAAAAATCATGTTTAAACTTGGAATACTTCCTTTGTGAATTTAACTGGATCGTATTATCTTAGATTCTGATTTCAGTCGTGCAGTCTTTTCCTACTCATCTCATTTCCAAAATTCTCCCCATCATCATGTGCATGTAAATCCCACCTGTCCCAAGTTCTTGTGGGCTAAAGGCGCCATTCTTTTCTGCAGTTGAGAAACACTGCCAAGGCCTGTTCTCCATGAATTTCCTGACCCTGTCCTCAGATGATGCAAGTCCTCCGGCAGCCCTGCCTCAGCCTCGGGGGAATGAGCTTGAGAAGTCAACGCCGGGGAGGCGGGGAGGCCCACTCCCCTGCTGGGTGGTGGGTGCTGTGTGTTGGGACAGGTTTTCTGGTGGGCGCAAGGATTCCGTCCCTGCTTCACTCTTCACGGTCCTCGTGGTGTGTGGAGCCCGTGGTGGCTGACCTCTGATCTCGGTTGCCCCAAGAGCATGGGCAGGTGTGGACACAGGCGGGGTAGCTCACAGGAGATGGCCTCTGGGGCGAAGGCTGGGGCCATCACCCCCCACCACGGCCCCTCCAGGCACGAGCTGGCAGCAGCCATTGGCCTGTTAACACGGTGTCCCTCCTTTCAGGACTGGAAAGACCATCAGCACGTGTGTGGCCAGTCGGCAGCTGTCACCGTTCAGGCAGAAGAGGTGCACGTAGCTGAAAGTGTGATTGAGAAGGTGGCCGTGTGAGCCGCCCCACCTACCCTACCTGCCGGAGGCCTCACAGTGGAAGCCCCCACGGACTGTGGGGGTCGTGAAGGGAACTTGCTGGACAAGTTATCCACGGACTCCGAGTGGACTCGGAGTGGACCCTGCCCTGCAGATGAGCTCTTGCCACCCAGAAGCCCTGAGGAGGTTCTGTGGCACTGTGGGCGGGACAGGGTCCCTGCCCTCAGGGTGCTCTCCCCGGATCATGAGCGTCAGGCCTGGTCAGGTGTGTGTGTGCTGTGACGGTGCACACCTGCTGTCTGTCGACAGAGTTGTAAATAAAGTCCCACCCACCCGACGGCCACGCCAGTGCCAGCGTCACAGGGCCCTGGTACAGACCGCCTTGCAGGCTCTGTCCTGTGGTCTGGATTGCATGGTGCGGGCTGCAGCTCCCTGACCCACCATGGTGAGGGTGGGCACAGGGCTTCTTTTGCTGACCACCTCTGGCCCCATCGAGGCCTCTGAGGTGACAGGGTGTCTGCACTGCCTGTGCCTGGCACTCACCCAAGGCCCTCTGTCGCCCACCTGTAAGGCCCGAGAAGGCCTTTGGCTGAGATGGATCTGGGGGGACTGTGGCCACCTAGCAGTGCATCTGGGCCCCCTGGCCTCCAAGTTGTGCCCACCAGCGTGGAGGCTGCTCAGGGGCCCAGAGGCAGCCAGTCCGCCTGTGCCCAGGCCCTCTGCATGTAGAGTCCTGACCTTCACTGTGTCCACGCTGTCCCTCCTCACTGCCCAGAGCCGCGCTGACAAGCCTCAGCAGGACCAAGGGCCGGAACCTCTGGGGAGACCCACTGGCTGTTTGGGCGTCCCTCTCAGCCGTTTCTGTGAGCCCTACACCACAGGCGCCCCAGAGTCCTCAGCCCTGTGCCCTCCCCTGGACTAGGGATGGTCCACTCCTGCTGCCCAGAGTCCACACCCAGCATAGCCCTGGCACCCACTGGGATACCATCTGCAGGGTCAGCAGAAGGCTCTGGCAGAAAAGGCGGGGAGCCAGGAGGCCACCGTCAGTAAGCCCTGCCCTATCTCCTGCGGCTGAGTCGTGCCGGGCACCTGGGGGTTCCGAGGACCTGGGCTGAGCCCTCTTCCCACCAATCTGGGGTCCTCACGGCCGCTGATTCATTTCTGCCTGTGTTGAGCCCTGGTCCCCCTATACACAGGCCCTCCAGTCCTGCCAGCCAGGCCATGGAGAGGCCACAGTGAGGTCCCGTGGCACAGCTGTGGTACAAGAGGGCGGGCTCTCCCTGCGGAGGTGAAGGCTGAGGTGGCAGAAGACTGCACAGACAACAGAGGGCCAGCAGGACGAGCCAGACCCTGAGGACGTCCAGGCCACTGCCAGCCCAGGGCACCAAGCAGGCACATTGGAGCACTGTCTGTGGGGCACGGCCACCCTGAGCAGGGGGCACTGCCAACCTGGGCACTGTGTCCTGGAATGATGGGCCAACCTGTACTTTGTCTTTAAATTGGAAACCTGAGGACTCGTGTTTGTTGGGGTCTCCAAGGCCCCACAAGGCTTGTGATCAGGGGGATCTCGGCATGGGCTAAGCCCCCCAGCTGCGTCCAGCTTCCTGGACCTCTGTCACCTCAGGGGCATTCTGACCTCCCCTCTGTCTGAGGGGCTCTCAGTCCGGGTCAGCAAGGGCCAGGCACATTGGGCCCTTAGGTCCCCAGGGACAGAGCCCAAGGGAGCCCCAGTTCCAATTCCGGTGTCAGCACCACACAGGCTGGGGACACTCAGGCCAGCAGAAATAAATCCGTGACCTAGTCCATTCCCTAAAGGGATCGGGGCAGGCCACGACAGCAGGTCAGGGGAGGCTTGTGATGTGACAGCACCCAGTGGACGAGGCTGTGGCACTGGACGGTACTAGGGTGGCCCCAACTGCCGAGTACTCTAGCGTGCTGAGGTGCCTACAGCCATGGCCCTAACGGCCCTCAGGGCATGTCCCAGGGTGCTGAGCCCAGAATGTCACACTGTCCAGACAAGAACGCAGGCCCTTGTGGCACTTTTGAAGAGGCAACAACCTGGACATAGGACACACAGGACAGCTCCTGCCAACAGGGCTGACAGGAACCCTCCCATGACCAAAGACAGGGACAGCCATGTTGAACCGTTCTAGCAGGAGTTGTCCCTTTGCCCCCAGGGCCAGAGGTGCCTCAGTACAGGCAGCTTGGTGTCCTCTGCCCAACCCTGGCCCTGCTGTCTTCTCCCTGAGGTTGCCTTGGGACACGAGAGACAGGTCTGCGGAGCACACGGTTGGCCTTAGTGTGGCACTCCTTCAGGGAGCCCTGGGTGGACCTCTGCCAATCCCCAGTCCCTTCCCTAGCAGGCACCTTCTGGCCAGGGGTTGGCAGCTGGTTTTTGTTGTTGTTTTGTTTTGTTTTTTGGCCTTCAGGAAGCTCTGAAGAGAGTCCTCTTGCCATTCCCACTGGGACAGCAAAAATTCCACCCACCTGGTCCTCAGAAGCAGGAGCTGGCCGGGGACCCTTGGTGGGTACCTTCCCCTGGGTGCTGTGCATCTCAGGAGACCCCTGTGCCCCCACCCTCAGGGCAAGCAGAGGTCTCCCTTCAGGACAGTCACCCCAAACACTCTCCTGTGGTAAAGGGGGAAACAGCTCCTGGATGCTACCCCTTGGTTGGAGCTGAGGGGACTGCCCCAGCTGCAGGACCTCCTCACTATGGGGAGGAAAGGGTCAACCGACTGATGGGGTCCCTGGGTCAGAAGCCCCTCCTCCTCACACCCATCCCAGGAACCTGCACAGCATCCGGAAGGAATTTGTTTAATCAGAAGCACAGCAGGGCCCCGGGGCTCTGCAGCTAGGGCGCAGTGCCTTGCGGAACACCGAGCGGAACTCGGTGTTGAAGACAGTGTAGATGAGCGGGTTGAGAGCGCTGTTGACATAGCCCAGCCAGGTGACAGCGCTGACCAGGCGCGGGGGCACGAAGCAAGCGCGACACAGTGCCCCTGTAATGTGCACCACGAAGAAGGGCGTCCAGCATACCAGGAAGGCCCCTGGGGGCGAGGGCAGTCAGCCAAACCGGAGCCCCACGCCCCACCCTCTCCCATTCCCCTCTCCTCCATCCGGCCGCCCTGCCCCTCCCCGCCCCCTCTGCACCTCAGCCCCTTCCTCCGACCCGCACCAGGGCAGGAACCCACCAACCACCACCGGCAGGACCCTCATGGCCTTGCGCTCTCGGCTGGTGATCTTGGCACGCCTTTGGTGGGCCTGCGTCAGGGGCTGGGGCGAGAGCTCTGCTTCAGGAATGGCGTCGAGAGGCGGGCAGCCGGGTCCGCAGGAGACCCGGTGGAGGACCGGCCCGGGCACCGGACAGTCGGGCCCGCAGGGTCCCGGGGGAAGGCTGGGTGCAGGTGGCGGGCCGGGGCCGCTGGGCCGGCGGGGCGCGCGGGCGTGCAGCTTGGCTCGCCGGGCCGCTCCCCAGCGCCGGAGGCCGCGGAACGTGGCCCAGTAGAGCAGCAGCATGAGCGGGCAGGGCAAGAAGAAGGAGCACACGGACGAATAGACCACGTAGTCGCGGTCCTCCAGGCGGCACACGGCAGGGTCGCGCCCGCGCACGTCGTTGAGGCCGCACAGTACTGGCGCCGCCACAGCTGCAGAGAGCAGCCACGTGGCACCGATGAGCAGCAGCTGGCGCCGGCCCTGACGGTGGTAGCGCAGCGGCACAGTCACGGCCACGAACCTGGGGGGCGCGGGCGGCAGCGGTGAGGCCCACGGAGCAGCTGGCCCGGGGGTTTGGGGTGGGGGGACAGCGGGGGCGCCCACCTGTCCACGCTGATGGCGCACAGGTTGAAGATGGAGGCGGTGCACAGCATGACGTCCATGGCCATGAGTGCGTCGCAAAGTCGGGGGCTCAGCAACCACGTGCCGCCGTGCACCTGGGTGGCCACGCCAAGGGCGCAGCAAGGAGAAAAAAGTCTGTTATTTGCTAGCTGCAGACTTTCTGACCCCCACTTTTTTGAGGGAGCATGGACTGAGTATCAGGGGAAAGGAAATCTGATGTGAGCCTCGGGCAACTGGGGACACTCACTGGCCTGGACAGTCCTCTGACTGGTTGACTAGGTCAGGGGCAGGGCCAGAAGCCAGCCTCCTGCCTCAGCTCTCCCTTCCTTAGGACCCGAAGCCTGGGGAACATATGCTGGGGGGCTCTGAAGTCCCTGGCTTCAGAGGAGCCCCAGGACTGGATGGCCCCGAACACAAAGCCGCCCTTTCCACCTAGAGCTCTGCTAAGAGTGGGCCTGCCTGAATAGCCCGTGTTGCTGTTGTGGGACTCTGGACAAGCTACTTCTCTGTTTACTCATCTGTGAGCCCAGGGGTGGTGGCAGTGTCCACATCCACAACTGGTGGGTGGCAGAAGCCAAGGCAGTTGTGAGGGCGAAGGAGTTTAAAAAACACAAAGAACTCGCGGCACAGTGCCCAGCACAGGATCAGGCCTGGGGGTATCCCTCTGCAAGGGCAGGAACAGGGTGCCACCCCCGCCCCTCTAAATCCCTTCGCGCTGATTTGGGACATTAGCAGCTTAAGAGCCGTCACCGTGACGTCCGCAGCTAGGAGGAGCCGAGGTCGTGTGTCCTTGCGGTACTGGCCTGTGCCCCAAACGACAGAACAGCCCTGTCCACCTTAGTAACCCACGTCTCCCCTCCCCCACAATCCAGGACACCTAGTTCCCAGCAGGGCCCTAAGCGGCTTTTCTCCGGGCTCAAGCGCAGAGGAGAGAGGTGGGCACTACAGTGGGACCACCCAAGGACCAGACCGGGCCTGCGGCAGAGGCTCCTGGGTGTGGGTTTCTCACAGGGGTTCTGCCCCTCCCACCGGCCTCCCCTTGGATTCGCTGTCCAGTCCAGCTCACTGCTCCTGGAGGACCCCAGGCCTTGTTCACCAGCGCACGTGGAGGGCGCCGGTGCGGTGTGGATGGCCTTAGGCAGCGGTGTGTGCGCGCGCCCTGGGGGTACTGCGCGGGGCTGAGCCCCCATCTGGTGGTCTGTCCGGCTGGCTCCTCCGAGTGTAGGGGAGGGGAATCCGGTTGCGGAGAGGGCGGGGTTTGGCCAAGCCGCCAGTTTCTGGAGTCTCCGGCTCCAAAGACAGGGGCCTCTGGGTGGCAGAAGCCAAGGCAAGTGGAGAGGGGGAGGGGAGAAGAGAGACACAGGGGGACTGACAGCAAAAGGAGCAGAGACTCCAGGGGCCCGAGGACAGCTGAGGACCAGGGGGCGAGCAGGTCAGGCGCCCCTGCCACCGTCTGCTGCCACTCGATATTCCTGATCAAAGAGGCGACCTGGGTGCTAAGGGGCTCAGCGGGGACAGGGACGGGACCGTCCCGCAGGAGCAGGCGGGGACGCAGGCTTACCTCGGAGTAGACGAAGAGCGGCAGTACGAGGAGTGCGAGGAGGAGGTCGGCGGCCGCCAGGCTCACGATGAAGTAGTTGGTGGGCGTCTGCAGCGAGCGCTCCGACGCCACGCTCACGCACACGAGCGAATTCCCCGCCAGCACCACTCCAATGAGCAGCACGCCTCCCACCAGTGCTGCCGCCCCCGCTGCCCCCAACGCCGCGCCTGACCCCGGGGTCCCGGTGCCCGGCCCACGCCCAGCCAACAGCCCGCCCGCGTCCGCGGCGCTGCGGTTCCCCATGGCCCGCCGGCCAGGTGCGCCTCGGCGGGCGCGGACCAAAGCCCCGGCCCTTCCCGGAGCCCCGCCCCTGGCACGCCCCGCCCCGCCCCGGATCGGGGGGCCCCAGCGGCGCCCCGCCGCGTGCGTGTCTCGAGATCTTGGGGTTTTGCGCTCGGTGAGTCCCGCAGCCGGGCGAAAGCGGCGGCCGAGCGATGAGAACTGAGCGAGGTGATTGGCACAGGCCGCCCCAGACGGCATCGGGCGGTGCGCGGGTCTACACACGAGATCCCAGCTGGGAAGGCGGGTCGACCGAACCAGACCCGGTGTGCGTGGGTATCGACCCCCACCTGGCACCCGTCTCCGGGTACCTCCTAGAAGCGCCTGGCTCCGAGGCGGATCCGCGTCTCCTTCCGCTCTGTCCACCGGCCGGGCGCTGGAAGACCCGAGCTGTGGCTCCGCCGAAAGCCGCTTTGGGCGTCTCCTTCTTCCCAATCCCCGAGGCTCCGGGGCTGTCGCTCTCCCTGCCCCTAACCCCGTCAGGCCTGGGCGGTGCAACCCCGCCTGGCGCGCGAGTCGCGCGCTCATCTCCTCCAACACTCTCGCAGATCCTCGGCAGCGCTGCAGACCCGGCCCCGCGTACCCTGCCCACTTAGCAACCCTTAGCCCTTAGTCCCCGCGACCAGTGACTACCGCGCAGACCTCAGGGGCTACCAAGAACGAACTCAAGAAATCACGTGAGCGCTTTTGTTGGGGCTCTTCCTCCTTCCCCTCCGGGGCCACCCTCCTAGAACAGGCTGACTACACGGACAACGCTCGACTGCAGGAGCCGGTTCCGGCGGGGGGTGGGGGCATCTCCAACAGGAGAAACTACACTAGAGTCACCTGAAAGACACATTAAGAGGTGGCCAGGGCTGGGGCTGCAGCTCAGTTGTAGAGCGCCCGCCTCGCAAGTGTGAGGTACTGGGTTCAATCCTCAGCACCACATAAAAGTAAATAAAGACATTGTGTCCAATGTTTTTTTTTTTTTTTTTTTTTTTTCTTTTTAAAAAGAGGTGGCCAGAGGAGGCTGTGAGCATGGAGGACCAGAACCGACCCTGGCAGATTATAAAAGAGCATAGGAAGAAAGTACATGAAAACGTCTTAGGGAGATAATCTTCTCTGTGGACTTAAGGTTGGGGTGACGCCAGACCTGAGTGATGTTTTCTGGGGCCCCTTTGCTAAAAGGCTGAACTCTGGGTGGGTCTCCAACTGCATCACTCCATCACCTTCTCCAGCACTGGCTCCCTGGGACCGCAGAGAAGTGCAGCACCAGCCCATCAGGAGGGGAGGGTCCTGACTTCAAAGATTTCAGGGTGTGGACTGGCACAGAAACCCGGTGGTACTCACACCACAGGACTGGAGAGTCTGGGCTGTGGGTGGGACGGGCGGCTGGTGCCTTTGGGCAGCCCTGTGCCCAGCCAGCAGCCTTCCCTCCCCCTGAAGGCTTGAGCAAGAGCACTCAGCCCAGCCACTGGGGCACAGAACCGAGATCCGCAGCAGGGTGGCCTTGGGTCTAGAGTGGGACACAGAGCCTCTTCCTGCCCCCACTGTCTTCCTCCTGCCACGGTTTGAGACAGTGAGGAGGCTCTGGGCCGTGGCACACACCTGTCACTCCAGCAGCTCAGGAGGCCTGCCCCTGACCGACTCAGGAAGGAAAAGAGCACTGGTTTTGGAGCTCGGTGGGTGGTGGAGCACTCCTGGGTTCAATTCCCAGTGTGGGGTGGAGACAGGATGGAGAAGGAATGTGGCTGGACCTATAAATGACAGTCAGGTCAGACCTTCCACGTCCTTGCTAATTTCCAAACTGTTCTGATAGTTTCTGAGAGAGGAGTAGTGAGGTACCCAGGTGTGAGAGTTCTCCTCCTCCTCCCCTTTTCTTCTTTCTTCCTCTTCCTCCTCCTCCTTCAGTTCTATCATTTTGCTTTGTGTATTTTGAAAATTTGTCACGAGGTGCCTATACATTCAGACCTCACTTTTTATATAAAAACTAATTAACTGTAATCCCCCTACTGGGGAGGCTGAGGCAAGAGAATTGCAAGTCCAAGGCTAGCCTCTAAACAATTTAGCAAGGCCCTAAGCACCTTAGTGAGACCCTGTCTCTAAATAAAATATAAAAAGGGCTAGAGATGTAGCTCAATAGTAGAGTACCCCTTGGTCCAGTACCAAAAGAAAACAAGTAAACAAAAGTAACTCCAATTTAAATGCCAAAAAACTATAAAAATCATGGAGAAAATGTGGGAAAAATATTTCAACCTGGGATTAGACAAGGAATTTTGAAATCTGACACCACCAGCATGGATCCACAAATGGAAACACAGAAGAACAGGACTGTCAAGACTAAGAACAGCCAGGTGCAAAGGGACACACCTGTGATCCTGACTCTGTGGGAGTCTGAGGCAGGAGGATGGCAAGTTCAAGGTCAGCCTGGGCAATTTAGAAAGACCGCATCTTAAAAGAAAGAAAGGGCTGGTGGTGTGGTGTAGCTCAGTGGTACAGCACCCCTACATTCCATCCCCAGTTCCACAAAAAAAAAAAAAAACCCAAAACTTGTAGCCACAGAGTAGAAAAGAATATTAGTGAAATATTATCCAATGTCTTGTGTATATGTGAATACACATATGCAAGTAGAGTAAGAATAATATGAGGTCTTTATAAAACATATAAAGAAGTCTCAAAATTCAATGATGTTGGGAGAAGGAAAATTTCAGAATAATCTCCCCTTGGAATCTAGATGCAGAAATCCCAGTGAAATGGAAGCTGACCAGAACCCAGCAGCATGTTTTAAAGGATCACATGTCCTGATGCAGGGGAGCTCACTCAGGAAGACAAGTGTGATTCAGGAGATGAAACTCAATCAATGGGGACTGGGGCTGGGCTCAGCGGTACAGCATTCGCCTTGCACATGCGAGACCCTGGGTTTGATCCTCAGCACCACATAAAAATATATGAATAAAATAAAGGTATTGTGTCAACTACAACTAAAAAAGAAACTCAATCAATGCAATATATCACAATAAGAGAGGGAAGAAAACCAGGTGATTGTCTCACTTGGTGCAGAAAAAGCAGTTGACATAATTCAGTGCCCTTTCTTGATTTCATTAGGAGCTGGGGTCTGGCTCATCAGTAGAGTGCTCACCTCGCATGCATGAGGCCTTGGTTTGTTACAGAACAACCTGGAGACAAAAATGATTCAGTGAACCAGGGGTAGAAAGATGTGTCCCCAACAGGAGACCTGCAACAGCCCAACCGGGACATGCTCCCTGCAGCAGTGAGTGTGGCTCCCCAGGTACGGGGACTTGCAGCTTGTAGCTTCTGCTAGAACACTGTCTGGTAGACAGGAAGAACAAGTGATAGACAGACGCCCAACAATGAAGAGGAAGGACCACGCCTATTTCAATGTGCAGACTGATCTCATGCATAGGAGATCTTATGAAAGTTAGAGTTGATAATTCAGCAAAATTGGGGGCTGGAGTTGCCACTCGGTGGTGGAGGGTTTGCCTAGTGTGTGTGAGGCACTGGGTTTGATCCTTAACACCACACACAAAAAAATGATATAAAAGGTATTGTGTCCATCTACAACTGAAAAGAATATTTTTTAAAAATTCAGTAAAGTTGAAGGATATATAGTAAACATAAGGGCTGGGGTTGTGGCTCAGCGGTAGGGTGCCTGCCTAGTACGTGCAAGGTCCTGGGTTCGATCCTCAGCACCACATAAAAATAAATAAGTAAAATAAAGGTATTGTGTCCAACTGCAACTAAAAAATAAATATTTTTTAAAAAATAAAGTATGGGGGCTAGGGCTGTGGCTCAGCAGTACCGCACTTGCTTAACATGTGTGAAGCACTGGGTTCAATCTTCAGCACCACATATAAAGAAAGAAAGATCTATCAACAATTAAATAAAAAATAAATAGATAAAGTATGGAGCTCGGGTTGTGGCTCAGTGGTGGAGCACTTGCCTAGCATGTGTGAGACCCTGGGTTCGATCCTCAGTACCACATAAAAATAAATAAAATGAAGGTATTGTGTCCGACTACAACTAAAAATTTTTTTAATAAATAAAAATAAAAAATAAAGTGAACATAAAATTAGTTGTATTTCTTTTTTTTTTTTTTTTTTTTTTTTGCAGTGCTAGGGAAACACAGGGTCTTACACATGCTTAGGCAAGCACTGTACCACTGAGCTACACCCTCAGGCCAAAATCAGTTCTATTTCTATATGATAGCAAATAGTCTGAGAATTAAATGAGGAAATTATCCCATTTGTAATAGCATAAAAAATAAAATAAAATTTCCAGGAAGGATGACTGGCAATTGTGACTCCCAGTGACTCAGAAGGCTGAGGCAGAAGACTCTGTCTCAAAGTTTCAAAAAGGACTGGAGATGTGGTTTAGTGGTAAAGCGCTCCTGGTTTCCATTCCCAGTACTGGGGAAAAAAGATAAAATATCTAGGAATCAATTTAACCAAGAGAGTGAAATACCTATACACTGAAAACTGTTGGTGAGAGGAGTTGAGGACCTGCACAAGTGGATCCAGTGTTCGTAGATGGGGACAGGTTGTCAGAACGACTTGTTGCTAGCAGGGCACTGTGGTCCATGCCTATAATCCCAGGGACTCAGAGGCTGAGGCAGGAGGGTCACAGGTTCAAGGTCAGACTAAGCATATTAATGAGGCCCTGTCCCAAAATAAAAAGGCTGGGGGAGTAGCTCAGTGGTAATAAAAGCAGATGGTGTATGTGTGGCTTATTGCCATGCCAAGTGGATCTACAGAACTGATTTACTAACAACATCTCAACAGGGCTGGGCTGGGGCTCAGTGGTAGAGCACTCATCTAGCACAGGTGAGGCACTGGGTTAAATCTTCGCACCACATTAAATAACTAACTAAATAAATAAAGGTACTGTGTCCATCTACAACTAAAAAATTTTTTTTAAATCTCAACAAGCTTTATTTTTATGAAAATGGAAAGGCCAATTCTAAAATTCATGTAGAAATGTAAGGAACTCCAAATAACCAAAGTAATCTTTTTTAGCGGGGTGGAGTAGGGATTGAACTCAGGGGCACTTTACCACTGAGCCACATCCCCATCCCTATTTTGCATTTAGAGATAGGGTCTCACTGAGTTGCTTAGTGCCTCGCAGTTGCTGAGGCTGGCTTTGAACTCATGATCTTCCTGCCTCAGCCTCTGGAACTGCTGAGATTACAGGCATGCCCCACCGTGCCTGGATGGAATACAGGGGTGTTTAACTACTGAGACATACCCCTAGTGTCCCCCTTTATTTTGAAACAGTGTCTCAGTAAGTTGCTGAGGTTGGCCTTGAGATCCTCCTGCCTCAGAAACCAAAGCAATCTTGGAAAAGAAAACCAAAATCTTTTTCAAATTTTCAGTTTCAAAATTTTAAGCACCGGGCTCAGTGGTGCACGCCTATAATCCCAGCAGCTTGAGAGGCTGAGACAGGAGGATCTCAAGTTCAAAGCCAGCCTCAGCAACTGAGAGGCACTAAGCAACTCAGTGAGACCCTGTCTCTAAATAAAATACAAAATAGGGCTGGGGATGTGGCTCAGTGGCCGAGTGCCCCTGAGTTCAATCAATCCCCAGTACCTAAATAAATAAATAAATAAAACTTAGAACAAAACACCAGGAATTAAGAGACTGAATCTGGCTTAAGGATAATTTATAGCTCAGTAAAAGAGCATTGAGAGTCCAGATATAAACTCAGACATCACAGTTAACTGATTTTCAACAAGGCTGCTAAGACCATGCTCAGGGAAGACTCTCCTCCACTAGTGGAGTGGAACAGCTAGACAGACGTCCGTCCACCCGTAGAAGAGTGCAGCTGGACCCTGAGTCACACCGTACACTCAAAAGGGTCATGGATGCAAAGATGAGATCTGAAACATGAGGCAGGTTTCACGGTCCTGGAACAACTGGAAGCACAGTGCAGGAACAGCAGCGGCAGCCAGGCCACAGGGTGTCACAGGACGTGACAATCTGTGGTACCTCAGAGATGCTGTCAGCCAGAGCCAGCCAGGTGGGGGCGCACCCCTCAGCCTCAGCTACTAGGGAGGCCAGGCAGGAGGGTGCTTCAGCCCAGGCGTTCTGAGTCTGCCTGGACAATGCAGTGCCCCTCATCTCTACCCTAAAGAATAAGATATTCCGAAGAGATTGAAAACAGGACCCAGAGAATGGGAGGAAATACTTTTTAATCGCATAGCTCAGAGAGTACGGTACCCAGCATGTATGAAGAGCTCGTACAACTCAACCACAGAAAGGCAATTCGGCTTCAAAGTGAAGACGTAGCTCAGAGCAGACGCTGGCCCAGCATGCTTGGAGCCCTAGCTTCCATTCCCAGCTCCACAAAACAACAACAACAACGGTCTGGACAGATAAAGAATGAAAAGAAATAGCAAGAAGCACCCGAGGCACTGCGGCTGGGGCTCAGTGGTAGTGCACTTGCCTGGCGTGTGTGAGGCACTGGGTTCGATTCTCAGTACCACATATAAATAAATAAAATAAAGGTCCATCAACAACTAAAAAAAAAAGGAGGCACCTGAGAACATGCCCGACCTCAGCCACGTGTGGGGGCCACACCTAGGACACCTGGGGTTCTAGCAACTCTGGAGACCAAGACAAGAGGGTCCCAAGTTCCAGGCCAGCCAGGCAACTTAGTAGGACCCCATCTCAAAAAAACAAACAAAAATGCTTGTGGGGGGTGAGGGGTCTGGGGCTGGGGCTGAGTGTCAGAGTGCTCGCCTCGCACGTGTGCGGCACTGGGTTCCATCCTCAGCACCACATAGAAATAAACAGGGCTGGGGATGTGCCTCAGCGCGCTCACCTGGCATGCGCAGGGCGCTGGGTTCGATCCTCAATAACCACTTAAAAATAAAAATAAAATAAAGATAGTGTGTCCACCTAAAACTAAAAAATAAATAAACAAACAAACAAATAAAATAAAGGCATGCTGTCCATCTACAACTAAAAACAAAAAGAAGAAGAAGAAAAAGCCAGTCTCAGCAATTTAGCAAGGCACTAAACAACTTAATGAGAACCCGTTTCAAAATAAAAAGTAGAACTAGGGTTGAGGCTCAGTGGTTAAGTGTCCCTGGGTTCAATCCCTGGTAAAGAAAGGAAGGAAGGAAGGAAGGAAGGAAGGAAGGAAGGAAGGAAGGAAGGAAGGAAGGAAGGAAAGAAAAATCAAATATGACCCAGCAACCCACTCCTAACCATATTCCCCAAAGAATTAAAAAACAGGCTCTAGGGCTGGGGATATAGCTCAGTCAGTAGAGTACTTGCCTAGTATGTACAAGGCCCTGGTTCAATCCCCAGCACCCTTCCCCCGAAAAAAACCCAAGCTTTAAAGAGCTGTCTGCACCCCCACATTCACAATGTCAAAGGTGGAAGCAGCCTGATGTCCATCAACAGATGGGGGATGGACAAACACCAATACCCAGGCAATGGAATGTTATGCAGATTTGAGTGATCCCACTCCCCTGGGTCTCTACAGTCACCATTCACAGAGACAGAGGCAGAGGTGATAACTAGGGGCTGGGGGGCTGCCTATCACTGAGCTACAACCCAGCCCCACTTTATGTTAATTTTTTTTAATATATTTTTTTATTATTTAGTTTTCAGTGGACACAACATCTTTGTTTGTATGTGGTGCTGAGGCTTGAACCCGGGCTGCACGCATGCCAGGCAAGCGCACTACCACTTGAGCCACATCCCCAGCCCCACTTTATGTTAATTTTTTAAAAATAGATTTTCCTAGTGAAGATCTGCCTGGTTACTTAAGTGATTGCAGATGCTGAGAAATCTCACAGATCAAGTTGATATTTGGGATTTGCAATGTTCTCATGAATGTACTTTATTTATTTATTTTTTTTAGTTGTAGATAGACACCATATCTTTATTTATTTTTATGTGGTGCTCAGGATCGAACCCATTGCCTCACGTGGGAGGCAGGCACTCTACCACTGAGCCACACCCCAGCCCCTTACAAACAGCATCATTTTGGGATGGGGTCTCACTAAGGGGCCAAGACTGGCCTTAAGCTTGTGATCCTCCAGCCTGGGCTCCCGAGTGGCTGGGATGACCCTGTGGTGACCCTGCCGGGCCAAGAGCAGGTTTGGAAGGCATCCATGGGAGCACCTTCTCCTCCGGCCGCTGGTCTCTGCTTCCTGCCGCCAGCGTGGAGGGGGAAGCTGCTCTTTCCTTCCTGGAAAAAGAAAACCACGGTGACCACAAAGCCCTGATCTGCCCACGGCGCTCCCCGGGGTCCAGAGAAGGTCGGTGGGCCTGCTCTCTGCGCGGTCCTGCTGCCCTGTCTCTGCCGGCAGCTGCGGCAGGCCCCTCCAGCTGTCCACCTCTCTCCTACCCGGCCCACCTCCGAGGCACCTGCGCCCACTTCCAGCCGCCAACCACCGCAGAGCAGTCCAGGGCCTTAGGGAGAGGCTCACTTGGGTTCTGCTCCGCGGTCCCGAGGCCCCAGGCCTTCACACGTGGGGTGACCTACCGCGGCCGGGATGTCCCTCCTCGCTCGGGAGCCCCAGGGGATGGCAGTGCCCGCCCGTGGCACCCGCCATCCAGCTGGTCTACTCCCTGCTGCCCAGCCGAGGGGCGCCGACTTGGCGCTGGGGGCGGGAGGAGTCCCGGGCGACAGCTGGGGGGCGGCCTTGACCTTCTGGCGATCGATGGCTCGGAGCCGGGGCGGTGCTGGGCGCCCCCAACCGGCCCACCCTCCGGCTCCGGGACCGCTATAAAGGGCCGCGCGGACTGGGGCCGGGGCTGCAAGAGCGCCCAGCACCGCCCGCTGCGCCATGGCTCCCTGGCCACTGCCGCCGTCGCTGCTGCTGCTGCTGCTGCTGGGCTCCGCCGCGCGCCCCGCGGCCCCCAGGTGAGCCCGCGTGCGCGCCCCTCCCGCCCCGCGCTGCCCACGCCGTCTGACCCCGCCTCTCCCCAGGGCTCCGCGACACTCGGACGGGACGTTCACCAGTGAGCTCAGCCGCCTGCGGGACAGCGCGCGGTTGCAGCGGCTGCTGCAGGGCCTGGTGGGGAAGCGCAGGTGAGCCGGCAGGTGAGGGCGGGAGAGCAGTCTGGGCAGGGGCCCTGCGGCGGGACAGGCCTGGTGCCCCGGCTGCAGGACTAATTTTGATTTGGGGTGGAACAGCGAGCGGGACACCGAGAACCGCACCTCCTGGTTTAAACCCACTGAGGGCCAGCTGTGCCTGCTGTGGTCAGACGAGCCAGCCCTGCAGGCCTGGTGAGCACCCGCGGCCTTCACCCACATCCTGCCAGCCCTTTCTCCCGTCCCCTGCAACCTCAGGGCTGCTGCTGGCCAGGCAGTGGTCTCTAGCTGCCATCCCAGCCCTCGGCTTCATGTCTCTGCAGGATGCCGCCGAGAGCCCCTCTGCCTCAGGTCTGGTCTCCCTGGCTGCCTAGTGTGGCTAGGCCTGGTCACAGTTCCAGAGGCGGCTGAAACCACCCAGTGGGCCAGAGGAGGACAGAGGAGGACCAGAGAGGACCCTGGGGCGGGGAGGGGCTGTACTTGGCACTAATAAAGGAAGAACTCACACCCGCCTCAGGAGCCCACTGTGCGTATCTCCTTACACCAGGGCAGCCCCTGCACATCAGGCTGCCAGGAGGAAGGAGGGCGCTATCCTCCTGCTCCAGGGCTACAGGTGACCACACCCAGCTGCCCTTTAAACCTGGGTGACCATCAGGCACTCGCCCTTATCGCTGTCCTCAGGGCCACCTCCTGTCCACTGGCTGAACTTCCAGCTCCGCTCCCCCCACTTTGTAATCCACTTAGTGAACGTGCAGTGTTCAGGGTGCTGCTGTCTCAGGGGCCATGTGGGTCAGTGTGAAGGGAGGGGCACAGACGCTCAGGTGGGGCAGGAAGGAAGGGGGCCACCCAGGATGCCTGGAGTCCCCTGGAGCAGCAGGACTGGAGAGGATATCCTGGTGACACATGTCCAGGCCAAGTGGTGGTGTGACCTCAGCAGGGCCTGTGCAGCAAGGGACAGTGGTGTCACCCCCAAGGGGTGGGCTGCAGCAGCATGTGGGTGCACCAGAGGGGGGGGTGGGGCCTGAGGTGGGACTGCCCAGTGAAGAGAGATCAGGAGTCTCAGGAAGGCCACTCATGCGTGCGGTGCCCCACAGCCTCCCCTTCCTCAGACCCAGTGCCTCTCCCAGCTCTGAGGGATTTGGGGGCCAAAGAAAGGAAGGGGCAGGGTAGGTGGAGGTCTGGGCTGAGGAGCCTCACCAAGACTCTGCTCTGTCGGTTACCAGGGCCCCCCGGAGGGCACAGTGGTCCCTGAAACCCTTCACTGGGCCCTGCCAGTCCCCTGGGAGCTAACTAGTCCCTGAGGCAGGCAGGGGTGCTGAGGGACAAGGGGCTTTTCCTGCAGGACTGGTGCAGGGATGGCCAAGGACCTGGAAGGGACACTGGGTCTGAGCCCCAAGGAGTGGCCGCCAGAATTTGGCCTTAATAAAATTCCAGTGGTGGAGCCTAGCGGGACAGCCTTGATCAGGGGTTGGGTAGAGCAACCCAAGTCTGGCGAGTCCCTTCCCCACCTGTGCCCACCCCTAGCTTCAGCAGCCGCCTCAGCTGTGCTCCAGCCCTGCCCCCCAGATCTGCACCCGCAGCCCCAGGTCCATGCCCCCCAGCTCTGTCCCCACGGCCCTGCTCCAGCCCTGCCCCCCAGATCTGCACCCGCAGCCCCAGGTCCATGCCCCCCAGCTCTGTCCCCATGGCCCTGCTCCAGCCCTGCCCCCCAGCTCTGCACCCGCAGCCCCAGGTCCATGCCCCCCAGCTCTGCACCTGCAGCCCCAGGTCCATGCCTCCCAGGCAGCTTGCAAGCTCCTCTATGCCCTGTGTTTGGAATCAGTGGTTCTCATTCCCAGTGGATGCCTGAAGTGGCCCAGATCAGGCTGAATGACCACTCCACATCCTCCTCCTGCTGGTGCCCTGGGTCTGGCCGGCCAGCGGGAGTCCCCTTGGTGGAAGCCTGTGGTAAAGGGTCATAAAGTGGGGCGGCGCTTGGCAGGGGCGAAGGTCGCTGAGGCAGGAACTGTACCAGCCCGGACTCCAGAGAGCTGGACCCTCCCGTCAGATGACAGCCGCCAAGATGGGGCCTCAGGCCCTGCGATGGCCTCCCCTGCTGCTGGCGCTGCTCACAGTGCTGCTTGGCCATTCCCCGGGAGCCACAGCCCAGACTCAGGGTACATGCTGGAGGTGCGGGGGGGCGGTGGGGGGGGGGCTGGGAGGCACTGACCTGTCCTCTCCAACTTCCCAGTCTGCTCTGTGGACAAGACCTTCCTCCAAGTGCAGGAGAACGCAAATATCACGGAAGCCCTGGTGAACATCTCCGTCCCAGAAGGCCAGCAGGTGACCCTCGGATCCTCGTCCACCCCGTCCGCATTTCGGATCCTAGGAAACCAGCTCTTTCTCAGCGTGATTCCTGATTATGAGGTGCAGGCAGTAGCCTGGGTGGGGTGTTTCCAGGGTCCCCTGCGGGTACACACAGCCTCCCTGGAGAAGACATGGGGGTGGCAAGGGCTCTGCCTCCCCCAGGCATTGACTGACCCTTCAGGCCCCATCCTTGGCTGGGCCTCGTCCATTAGGGAGCAAAGCTGCCTAGTGCCTCCTCCTCCTCCCCTGACTTACCACCAATGACGACCTGGGCCAGCGTCTGCCCTCAGCCTCGGGCTCCCAGCCTGTGGAGTGGGGACGTGTGGCACCACCATGCAGGTGATTTGCAAGACCGACTTGCCTCCACAGGAGAATACGATGCTAGAGGCACACCTGGAGTGCAAGAGGGGGGACACCGTGGTGAGTGCACCCTGTCCCCCTGGCCCTTGGTCCCTCCTCTGTGACCTCACCCAGGGAGTGTTTTCAAACACCAGCCCTCCCCGGCTACGCCCTCACTTCCTCCAGCCCAGACTCTGCCCTGAGTTTCAGACTCACAAACCCAGCTGTGGACCCACTGTCACGGACATTGGCCCAACAAACTCCTGAGACTCCCCTGACCCCCTCGCCCCAGCACCTGGAGGCACCCTGGCCTGCTGATTGCTCCACCAGGCTTCCTTCTCGCTAGCCCGCCCTCAAGAGCAAATGTGGGCTGCGCCTCAGGCAGCCCCAGAACCCCCCCTTCCTACCTCCACATCCCACCAGGGCCTCGGCCACCAGCTTCCCCTTTCTGGAACCTTCCTACTGATCCCTGTCCTCTCTTGCCCCTGGTCCATCCATCCCCTCTCGGGGTGGGAGGTCTCAGGAGAGCCTAGCAGAGCCAGCCCCGCCCGGCACAGCCCAGCACTTCCACATCTGCCTGCGCCCTTGGAGTCCAAGCCCCGCGAGCTGCTGTGGTGGGCAAGGTTGGGGGTGTGGCCCTGGCCTGGGGCGCCCGTCCCCTCACCTGCTCAGGTGTGCAGGGAAACCTTTCCTCTTTGGTGGACTCCGTGCACCCTGCTGTGCTGTAGCGGCAGCCCTCCTCCTACATCCCACGCCCCAGACGCCCTTTTATTAGGAAACACAAGTGGAAAACCACAGGCGCCGCCCCACCCCAGCTCCCTGTGAGCAGCCCCTGCCCTGCGCCAGGCCACAGCACCGCAGTCCCCCACAGTGTCTCAGCAGGCGTCTCTAATAGGCGGGCACCTGGGGCTGCGGCTGGCTCAGGGCAGAGCACTGGCCTAGCAGGGGTGAGGCGCTGGGCTCCATCCTCAGCACCACATAAAAATCAACAGATAAAATAAGGTCTGGTGTCCACCTACAACGAAAAAATATATATTTAAAAAAAACTTTTAAAAGATAGGTCGGGACCCTTCATTTTAATCACAGCTCAGTGGCAGAGAGCTTGCCTTTGCCTCCTGTGTGAGGGGACCTGGGTCCCCTCTCCAGCACCACAAAGAAAACAAGACACATCCTCCTGCCCTGTCCACCTGAGAAGGGCGGTTCCTCTCGCCATCTAAGCCCTGGTGTGTCCACCTGTCCTGGGCCTCTGAGAGTCTGCCTCGGCTTGTTTGAACTGGAGCAAAGTCCAACCCAGGGGCTGGCGGAGCTCCCTGCAGGTGCCTTCCGCTCTGAAGGTCCCTCTCCCTGCTCCGTTATTCTTGGGGAAACATGACATCTAACACGTGTCCTCTTTTTATCTATCTATGTTTACTTTTTAGTTAAAGGTGGACACCATGTCTTTATCTTATATTCATGTGGTGCTGAGGATGGAACCCAGTGCCTCTCGCGTGCGGGGCGAGGGCTCCACCTCCCAGCCCCAGCCCCAGCCCCCAGTGTCCTCGGAGGGCTGGCCACCTCTGGCCACCTTGGTAACCTACCTCTGTGGTCTGTAAGTCCAGCCAGGATGGCAGCCCCGGGGCTGAGTCTTGTCCCTTGTGATGGGCCCTGCCGTGCTGGGTCACCGTCACCTTCAAACAGAGCAGCAGAAGGGCAAGTGGGCGAATGGACGACCACCCGGGCGGATGGACAGGAATGAGGCAGGAGGGAAGGCAGGCCGCCGGGAGGGCTGTGGCCAAGGCTGTCGACCCCTAGGTGACGCAGCTGAGGGTGTTTGTGGTGGTGCTGGATATCAACGACAACGCCCCAGAGTTCCCCTTCACCACCAAGGAGCAGGACGTGCAGGAGGTGAGTCAGGCGGAGCCAGAGCTGGCACTGCCTGGGCTGGGCACCGGGCGGATGTGGGCCAGGGGGCTAGTGCCGAGGGGCTCCTCCCTGGGACTGGTCCACAGAGGCCACGCCTGTGTCTGGGTCGACGGCTCTCTGCCCCCAGGACACCAAAGTGAACTCTACGGTCATCCCTGAGGCAGAACTACAGGCCACGGACCGTGACAAGGACAGCACCTTGTTCTACACGCTACAGGAAGTGACCCCGGTCAGTGGTACCCCAGCCCTGCCCAACACTGGCCCTTGGCTTCTGAGCCACGGCTCCTTGATCCCCCAGGGGCTCAGCTGTGGTTCCCTCTCCCCAGGGCGCTGGCAGCTTCTTCTCCCTTTTGGGGGTGAACCGCCCTGCCCTGAGGCTGGACCGGGCCCTGGACTTCTACAAGTGGCAGAACATGACCTTCCGGCTGCTGGTGCGGGTGAGTGGTTCCCCCAGCTGCGTACTGGATGCTCAGGCCGGCCCTGCTGGAGGTCCCCTACCTGACACAGCAGAGCTGTTACAGGACACGAGGGAGGAGCACCAGGAGCCCAGCCACACAGCCACGGCCACCCTGGTCCTGAAGGTGCTGCCGGCTGACCTGCGGCCACCCTGGTTCTTGCCCTGCTCCTACTCAGATGGCTCCGTGTGCATCCAGGCTCAGTACCAGGGGGCCATCCCCACAGGACACACACTGGTAATGGGGGCCCCGCAGGCAGGGACGGGCTTGAGTGCAGAGTGGGGTCTGGGAGGCTCAGGGCGGGAGCAGGCTGGGGCCTGGGCTCTCAAGGGGCGGCGGGCCGACTTCAGTCACCATCTTGGAATAGCTGTGAATGAGCCTCTTCTCCCAAACCGCCCACCCAGCCTTGGGCAGTGTGTACCAAGCCCCGCAGCGTGGGCAGCCCTGCCCCGTGAGGTCAGCCAGAGGTGGGGCGGAGGGGCCAGGAGGACCGCCTGAAGGACAGCTGAGCAAAGCCCCTCCCCAGGGCTGGCCTCCCAGGCAGGCCTGATCACACTGTGCATCCCGACCCACGAGGTGCCTGAATTCGCCTGTAGCTGCCCTGACCCAGACAGGCACTGCCCGGCCCTTCTCCTCTCCCCACTGTGCTCCCAGCCTGTGTTTCAGACCCTGAGGAGCAGGGGAAGGGCCGACTGGGGCCATCTGCACCAGCCCCACGATGACCCCCACCCCCACAGCTGTCCCCCCTCATCCTGCGTCCGGGGCCCATCTATGCGGTGGACGGAGACCGAGGCATCAACGAGCGGGTCATCTACAGCATTATAGGGGGTGAGAAAAGACCTGCCCCCGCCCACGGCACCACAGACCCCTGCCTTGGACTCAGGCTGAACCAGCCAGGATCCTGGACCTTAGGCAGGGGACCAGGGTCTAAGTTCTGCCCCACATCCTCTCAGGAAACAAGGACAACACATTTGCCATCGACCCAGACTCTGGCAACCTCACCATGACCAAGAGTGTCCCCAGCCCCACGACATTCCTGCTACTGGTCAAGGTGGGTGCCGGCACGGGGCAGCAGGACGTCAGCTGCACTTTCACGGGCCTGCTGGCCACTACTGCCTCTCCTTTCCCAGGGTGAACAGGCTGATGGGGCCCGTTACTCGGTGACCCAGGTCACTGTGGAGGCCCGCCAGGCCAACGGGAGCCAGCCCCACTTCTCCCAGAGCCTGTACCGAGGCACCGTGGCCCCTGGCTCTGGGTCTGGTGTGGCTGTCCAGGATGCCGCCTCCCCCTCTCAGCCTCTGAGGATCTGGGCTCAGGACCCTGAGTTCCCGGTAGGCGGCCCCCTCCTGCCCCTCCAGGAGCCTCGTAACCTTGCCGGGTCCCAGGGTCTGCTCGCCCCCGGGTGGGTGGGCTTGGGGTGAAGAGTGGGGGCAGCCCAGGCCCAGGACTCACTGCAGCCACACCCAGGACTTGAACTCGGCCATTACCTATCAAATCACCAACTGCTCCGAGTTCCGGATGGCTGGAGAGATGGTGCTGACTGCCACGGCAATAGAGCAAGCAGGGGTCTTCTACGCAGAGGTAGGGAAGTGTGTCTGAGGGTGGGGGACTGCAGAGGGGCTCTGCAGGGACAAGCCCCCCTTCCCACCCCAGGTGGAGGCCAAGAACACTGTGACTGCGGGTGTAGCCACCACGGTGGTTGAGATTCGTGTTTCAGAGCCAGAGCCCCCCTCCACAGGTAAGCCTCTGGGGGGCCCCCTTCAGGATGGCTCCTACCCTGGGCAGGTGTGCTGGGTGCAGAGGCAAGTCTGGCACTGTCCCTGGCTCCCTAGGCTCCCCAGAGCCCCCCACATCCCCAGAGACTGGAAGAACAACTGGGCCCTGGAGCAGCACCACTTCGGAAGCCCCCAGGCCCCCTGGGACCTCTCAGGGACCCTCAACAACCAGCTCTGAGGGTGGCAGTGGCCCTCATCCACCCCTAGGCACAACTCTGAGGCCACCTACCTCACCCACACCCGGGGGACCCCCCAGCCTGGGAGTGGGCACCTCAACCCGACCAGCCACGCCCGGTGGGGGCTCAGCACAGACCCAGAAGCCTGGGACCTCTGGGCCCACGGCTCCCGGTACAGGAGCAGGTACCTCCCCTCAACCAGCCACGCCCGGTGGGGGCTCAGCACAGACCTCAAAACCAACGACCACCCCCGATGTGGGAGCAGGCCCTTCACGACCCGCCACGCCCGGTGGGGGCTCAGCACAGACCCAGAAGCCTGGGACCTCTCGGCCCACGGTCCCTGGGCCCAGCAGGAGCCCCCCACCCTCAGGTAGTCCCCACCCCACTTGTCCTAGCTCAGAACCTGGGTGGTCCAGGGTCGCCTCTAGGACAGAGTCCCAGCCAGGGGTCTGTCTGGGGACAGCAGTCAGCCCAGGAGCCCCCAAAGCTGCACTAGGAAGGTGTGGGGTGCAGGGCAGGGGGCAGATTCGAGATCCAGCGAGCTGAGTTGCCAAGGCCGTTGGTGGTTTAGGATCTTAAGACAGAGAGCACCCCTCCAATGATCAGGAGAGATATGGAGCTGAAATTCAGACTGGACAGCTGCATCAGGTTTGTGGCTGTGCTAGAAGCTGAGGCAGGATTTCTGGAGCCCAGGATTTTGAGGCCAACCTGGGCACATAGCGAGCCCTGTCTTAAAAACAAAACAAACAACAACCACAAAAACCACTGATTGTATCACACTATCACACGGCTTGGGGTACTGGTACACCTGAGGCCACACAGGAGTTTGTGGCCCAGGGGACCTGTGTGCTAGCCCTGTACTAAGGAGTCTTGGTGGGTTTAGAGCAAGCAGAATCAAGTTCCAGAGGTCTCCAGTGGTCTCAGGACATATCTGTGCAGTGAGCAGGGAGCCAGCCTCCCAGAGACAGTGGCACAAGGCAAATCCCGGGGGGCTATGGAACTGGAAACGGAGTGGGGAGCAACTGAACACTGTTTCTGGTCCAAGCCCAACGTCCATTCAAAACGGATGCAGAGACTGAATTCCCTGTAGCCATTTATCCTGTTGTATCCGAAGTTGGTTCCTCCCTGGAACACCCTGTCCTGGGGGGACCCTGGGCCTTGGTGTGCTCACAACATCTCCCTGGGGGGGGGGCAAGAGCACCTGCCCCTCAGAACCCACAGCTCTGGTAGGGGGCAGCCAAAGGCTGGCTTGTTGTCAGGGTTCCTGGCTGGCACAGGCTGGCACAGGCTGGCAAGGTGTGCCACGGTGGATGACCATGTCTTCTGCAGGGATGCCAGGAAGCAGCACAGGAGGAAGTGTCCCAATACAGGATGACCAGCACTTCTCCATAGTGGACATGGCAGTGCTGGGAGGGGTGCTGGGTGCACTGCTGTTGCTGGCCCTCCTGGGCCTGGCCATCCTCATTCACAAACACTATGGTCACCAACTGAATTGCTGCTCTGGCAAAGCTGCGGTGAGATCCCTTGTGGGAGCTAGGGCCTAGCAGGGTAGATGACAGTGACAGAGACAGACAGAGGGGCAGAGGAGAGAGGTGGGGAGGGAGGGAGACATGCAGAGGGATGAAACATGGGGCAGAGAGGGGGCAGAGAGAAGGCAGGACGTAGAGTGCCGGCGCTCTTCTGGCTCTTCTGTAATCGCAGCAACTTGGGAAGCTTAGGTAAGAGGCTAATAACTTCAAAGCCAGCCTCAGCCACAGTGTAGCAGGATCCAGTTAAAAAAAATAATAATAAGGGCAGGGAGGGGGGCTGGGTGTGTGGTTCAGGGGATAAGCACCCTTGGGTTCAAGCCAAGGTTCAAGGGGGAAAGAAAGGAGGGGGAGATAGTGGAAAGGTGTAGAGATTGAGGTGGAGGTGGGGATAAGAGAGATGGAGGAGATAAGGGGGTGGGAGAGTTGGAATGGGATTGTCAGGGGACCAGCAGGGGACCAGGGTTCAGTGACTCTGTGAAGGAGCAGCAAGCGTACATGCCAGGGTCACAAAACAGGGCAAGGGCAGAAGCCTACAGAGTGGAGGGACCAGAGTCCCACTGATACCCTTGCTGTGCCCACAGGAGCCCCAGCCGCAGGGCTTTGACAATCAGGCCTTTCTGGGGGACCAGGAGGCCAACTGGGCACCTGCCCCTAGCCCCGGTTCGGGGCCCAAGTCTGTGGAGGTGCCACCGGAGCCGCCCAGCCCCGGGTCCCCTGCCCCTGAGCCTCCCAGCACCGAGTCCCGAGACCCAGGTCCCCTCGCCAGTGCCCCTGAGTCCCCGGTGGCCGCCAGGGCTGTGGACAGCCCCTCAGCAGTGAGATCCATCCTGACCAAGGAGCGGCGCCCCGAGGGCGGCTACAAGGCCGTGTGGTTCGGCGAGGACATTGGGGCTGAGGCCGACGTGGTGGTCCTTAACGCACCCACCGCGGACGCGGACGCGGAGGGCGCGGGCGACTCTGGCAGCGAGGACAGCGGCGGCGAAGAGGACGCTGGCCAGGGCTGGGGTCCCCGCGGCGCGCCCGCGCCCCCAGACGACTCCACCTACATCTAGCTAGACCTCTCTGCTCGCCCGCAGCGGGCCTGGACCCGGGGTCCACTCGCCGCCCCACTTCTCTCGCAGAATAAAATTTCACTTTCGAATCCCAGAATTCGAGGCGATGGGCGGCTGTTGGAGAATTGGTGCAGAGAGGTTGGCCACACCTTCCAGTGGCTCCAGGCGGACGTGGAAGCGGCGGGCGGTGCTTCTCGTAAACCAGCTGCTGCCCCGCCCGCGCCGCCGGGCTTCCGGAGGCCTTCTGGACGGCTGGTAGCTAGGAAGTTCCTCTCCTGGTCTAACCACAGTCCAGGGGGGCGGGGGGCGCACCAGAGATCTCCACCTCGCGCCTCACGACCCCAGCGGAGACTCCGTGGGGGTGGGCTGGAAGGAGCCAGCGCAAATCTCCGGGAAGACTTGCTTGGGAGAGGGTCGTCTTGGGGACCTCGCAGGGGAAACAGACTCCTTCGGAAGTCTATGAGGTCGGCCGCGGTGGGGGCGAACCCCCTTGGCGCCGCGCGGAGGGACAGGGCCCAGCGCCAGCACTGAGACGTTCGGCGCGGCGGCTGGAGCATCCCGAGATGACTGGAGCCAGCAGCCGGGGTCTGCTGCCCAAGGACCCTTGGGTGGGGGAGCCGGTATTAGGGGAGTACGGGCCACCGGGTGGGGACAGAGCTCCCCGGCTTGACTTCCAGGGCTCACCCCAGGCCCGAGTTTTTCCAAACTGCCCGTCAAACTGTCCCTGTGGGTCACTGGCATTTTTCCTTATGAAAAGTCATCGTGAATCCTTTCCAAAAGCTCTCATTTCAAGAGTGGCTGTCGGAATAGCAGCAGTCCCTCTTAAGACTCCATTAGTTCTATGCAAAAACAACTAAAACCCCACTTTTGTCTGGGGTCTGATTTTGCACCCATGTTGGGGATCTCTGGTCTACCCTAGTTTGACCCGCGCCTGGGGTTGCTTCCCTGGGAAGCAGCAGCGGGAGCCGCCGGGGCTGAGCCCGGAGGCCAGGCGGAGACGGACCGGGCGCTCCGGCCGCCCTGCGGGGACTACAGCGGTGCTGCCCAGAGCGCGATCGCCCCGACCCGAGTCAGCGCAGGGGCTGGGCAGGCCCGGCGGCTCGGGAACCTCCCACGGGAGCACGTGACGCCCGCGATGCACCTGCAGGGCTTAGGCCCGGCCCGCCCCCGGCCCGCCCCGGCCGGGGCACAATAAAAGCGCGGCTGCGTCCTCTCTGGGAGAGAAACGTCCCGTCCCGGCGGCTCCGGCACCCAGGTATGCGGGACCCCCGGCCCACGCGGAACAGAGGGGAGCTACGACCCACGTGGGAGTCCTTGTTCTCTCCACCAGCAGCGGCCGGGAAGGGGCCGCACCCAGGGTTGGGGAGCCTGGAGGGGGCTCCGTGAGACCGGGGGTGGGGTGGGGAGTGGGGTCGGGCCGAGGACGGGGCTGGGACGGTGGACGGTGGACCGCCGGCCGTGGGAGGGCGCCTACCCGCCGCCCCGCCCTCTAGGTTTCGGTTTCCCGCGAAGCTCAGTTTCGCTTTCCTGGACTCTGACCCTGCCCTTCCACACGGGCTTTCCCATCTTGTCTTTGCAGGGTCCAGCCTGTGAGCTCTGCCAGGCCTGGACGCTGGCTTAACATCTGTGACTTCACGTGTGTGTGCTCTCGCCACATCTGTCGTCACACCTATCTCCACCTTGGCCCAGGAGTCCACACTTGGCCAACAGAGGTGGTTAGAAGCCCTCAATCCACATCTGTGACTCTCCACACCTGGGTCACACTTGTGACACCTTGGCCACACTGTGGCCACACTCTGACACCTCAAGTGACACACGAGGAACCCGTATCTCACCTGTGATAGTACCTGCCACTGCCCCTGCCCAGAATCTCAGTGAAGGGCCACCCTGACTCCCAGACTGACCGTGTATAAAGAACAATGGCTGTAGTTCCTCAGAGGTGAGAACTGCCAGCCTGCCCTCCCTCCCCATGTGATCCCTGGGCCTGGCGCTGGGCCCTGACCAAGCGTGGCCACCCCACCCGCAGGGGGCTCCAGCGAGTTCTGTTTGGAGAGTGGCTTCTGGGTGAGGTCAGCAGCGGCTGCTACGAGGGGCTGCGGTGGCTGGACGACGCCCACACGGTCTTTCGGGTGCCCTGGAAGCACTTTGCTCGCAAGGACCTAGGAGAGGCAGACGCCCGCATCTTCAAGGTGGGGCCCAGCCCCACTCCCACGGAGGACCTGTCTGGGACCCCAAGGCTCCACCCCTCGGCCTGTGTTTTCTGTTTTTTCCCAGGCCTGGGCAGTGGCCCGAGGCAGGTGGCCACCCAACACTGGCGGGGGCGACAGGACACCCCCAGAGGCTGAGGCTGCAGAGCGTGCGGGCTGGAAAACCAACTTCCGATGCGCACTGCACAGCACCCGGCTCTTCCGGATGCTGCAAGACAACTCAGGGGACCCTGTGGACCCACACAAGGTGTACGCGCTCAACCCTGAGCTGGAGTGGAGAGGTAAGGAACCCCCCAGGCTGGACAGGAAGGTGGGTGGATGGGTAGAGGGCTCCGCCTTATCTTGGCCTCCAGGTCAGGTGTCCAGCCCCATGTTGGGGTGTCCTGCTTTAAAGCCCCAGGCCTTGCCACCAGGTGCCAGGTCACTGAGGGGAAGAGGTTAACAGCAAGGAAGGAGCAGGGTGCTGGGACCTGGGGGTACTCGGGACATTCACAACCAGGTCTTATGCCAGCCCCAGGTCCAACTGGCCCCCCACTTTCGGAAGGCCCAGCTGTCAATCAGGGGGAAGAAGAGGCTCTTGAAGGTGTCCTGCCTACACAGGTACAGGCTCTGCCCGTCTCTGCCCCTGGTTGTTGGGGCTGGGAGCTGCTTACACCAGACTGTCTTCCCCTTGCAGGGTGGGCCCCTAGGACCATTCCTGGCAGGAGACACTAAGCTGCAAGCCCCAAGCCCTCTGCCCATCCCAGCAGGTGACACAGGGGACCTCTTGCTCCAGGTTCTTCAGCACAGCCTCCTGGGGGACCCCCTGATGGAGGCTGCATGGCGGGTAGACCCAGCCCCTCCGGGGCCTTCTGGTGAGGGACAGCAGGGGCCATTCTGTTCTGCAGGGGCTGTACTGAGGGAAGGGGGCAGACAGGACAGCAGAGACCCTGGGGAGAGGGAAAGGGACCCAGTGTCCTGGGGTGGGCCCTTGAGGAGGATGTGGGGTGCTGGGGCACCACGAAGGGCAAGTCCGGCAGAAACAGAGCCACCACAGCTGGGCAACTTGGGTGTTGCACTGTCACCTTCAGGCCCAGAGTGCCCTTTGGAGGCGCTTCATACAGCACGGGCAGTGGAAGCTGTCCCCAGCCCCAGGCCTCAACACATGGCCCTTATGACAGGTGAGAAGCTCCAGAACCTGCGGTAGGGATGGGGAGGAAGGGGGTTGGGGACAGGAACCAACTCAGCCCTTCCCAGATGCAGGCCAGGGTACGGCCCCCAGGGTAGCTGCATGCAGCAGAGCCTATGACAGCACCCTTTGCTAGCAGGGCACCCCAGGGGGAGGTGGCTGGGTACCGCCTGTTCCGCACACACCTGTTGCTCACAGCTTGGTGTATGCAGATCCCAGCCCAGGTGCCCTGGATGTGACCATCATGTACAAGGGACGCACAGTGCTGCAGGCAATGGTGGGGCACCCCAGCTGTGTGTTCCTGTATGGACCCCCTGGCCCAGCCACCAGGGCCTCGGAGCCCCAGCAGGTGGTCTTCCCCAGCCCTGCTGAACTCCCTGATCAGAAGCAGCTGCACTACACGGAGAAGCTATTGCAGCATGTGACCCCTGGCCTGCAGCTGGAGCAGCGCGGACTGGCACTGTGGGCCCGGCGCATGGGCAAGTGCAAGGTGTACTGGGAGGTGGGCAGTCCCTTGGGCTCTGCCAGCCCCTCCAGCCCAGCCCAGCTGCTGGAGCGCAACTGCAACACCCCCATCTTCGACTTCAGCACCTTCTTCCGAGGTCAGTGAGGCACCTGCCTGGGAAGTGGGCCCACTCTAGGTATTCCCCTGGGAGCCTTGCCCACCCTGCTCACCAGAGCCACCTCCTGCAGAGCTGGGGGAATTCCGGACACGAAGGCGCCAAGGCTCCCCACACTACACCATCTACCTGGGCTTTGGGCAGGACCTGTCAGCAGGGAGGCCCAAGGAAAAGAACCTGGTCCTGGTGAAGGTGAGGCCCGGGGCCAGGAGGGTGAGAAGGGACTGCCTGGCCCTCAGGTCACCAGGGCCCTGACAGATGCCCCCCTGCAGCTGGAGCCATGGCTGTGCCGGGTGCACCTGGAGGGTGTGCAACGTGAGGGCGTGTCCTCCCTGGACAGTGGCAGCCTCAGCCTGTCCCTGTCAAGCACCAACAGCCTCTACGATGACATTGAGCACTTCCTCATGGAGCTGGAACAGCCAGCTTAGCCCCCTACCCCAGCCGCCCCCAACAGAAGAGTGCCGAGAACCAGTGCTGTCCTGTTCTCCCTGCTGGCAGTACTGACCAGACATGCAGGGCCCTGGCAAGGGAGGTGAAGCCCAGGAAGCACACTGCAGACCTCCCCTGCATGCCCACTCTTCTGTTTATCGCGCACTCAAGTGACACACTGAAGTGCTAATAAACCACTCGCTGGATACAAATGCCCCTGAGTTGGGTGTGGGGGAAAGCTGGTCCACCAGGAGAGCTGGGGAGGTGCCATCATGTGCCCAGCGGTACCTGTCCTGCCTGGAGGTCTGGAGCACTGTGCTCTGCCTCCTGGGAAGCAGCTGGTGGAGTGCAAACCTGAAGGGGCAGAAGGCGATTTTAAAACTGAAAATAGAGAAATTGCTAAAACAGAGACAAAGGAGGCCACCTGGAAAAGGATCCAGGAGTCTCTCCCTGCCCCAGACTATCACCAAAGGCTTCACCTTCCAAGTACTGAGGCCACAGGAAAGTTTCTAAAGATAAGCCATTTTTGATAAATTAGAACACAATGGAAACAGTGTATCTATAATATACATATAAAAAAGTCCAGTTTTCAACTGTGA